ACACACAGAGAACACACAATCCCCACAGACCTCTATTCTCTAAACAAGCCACCATCTTCCTTGATGGTCCTGGAGATGGTCCAAAAGGAGGACGTAGCTGAACCAACATGGAGAAGAGAGCTCCTTATACCCAACGGTAGCAGCTTACCGCCACTTTGTGCTTCTTAGACCCTAAAGCCCACCACATCCCCCCCCCCCCAAAGGGGTTTAGCCGCCCGGCTTGACTACAGCCTCCGGAACCGGCCCTTGGCACCTTTTCCAACAAGCTTCCCACCCAACCCCGAAGGGGGAAAATTAGTGTCAGATAGATCCCCCTGCCCCTCTCATCCCTGGAATGTAAGGAAGGAACATCTCCATCCCCAGCTGTTGCGTTGGCCAGCCGGGAAGGGAGGAAGAGGAGGAGGAGGAAGGAGGACGGAAGAGCCACGGAGAGAAGGCCGGCAGCCGTTTCACTGAGGTAGCGGGACGAGGACTTCCACGTAGTTGAGAGGGAAGAAGCCGGACTGGCCGTGGATCATGCCCTCGTACCAGTTCTCGTCGATTTGGTTGGTCAGCGTGATGATGTCGCCTTCTTTGAAGCCCAGCTCGCCGTCGTTCTCCGGCTCGAAGTCGTACAGCGCCTTGCAGCAGGGCTGGTCCAGGTGGGGGGCTGGAGGGGTTTGGGGGGGAGAAGAGGAAAGGCATTAGCCCAGAGGTACCCTTCCTTCAATCCACCAGCCTCAATTGATATCCCCATCAGAGGGATGAGCCCCATTTGCTGTCAAAGCGCATGGAAGGCTGGGACTTGTAGTTCAAGAGGGAAATAAGACTTGTAGTTCAATGAATGAACTACATACGAGTGTGCCCTTGACTGGCTCACAAGAGTGGGGGGAGAGACATGGGGCTTTTGGCTTTCGAAGTGTATGGAATGATGGGAAGTTTAGTTCCATGGAGAAATAGACATGTAATTCGATAAATGAACTACAAGGGGGGAAGACATGGGGCCTTGGGCTTTCAAAGCACATGGAATGCTGGGGCTTGTAGTTCCATAGGGAAATAGACTTTTAGTCCAATGAGTGAATTACAAGGGTGCCCTTGATTGGCTCACAAGGGGGAGAGACATGGGGCCTTTGGCTTTCTAAGTGTATGGAATGCTGGGAATTGTAGTTCCAAAATTGAGAATAGCTCCATTCAACCGACCTGGACTGGCTCAGAAGAGTGGAAGCCTTTAGCTGTCAAAGCGCATGGAATGCTGGGACTTGGAGTTCAATATGGAAATAGACTTGTAGTTCAATGGATGAATGCCCTTGGCTGACTCACAAATATGGCCTTTGGTCTTCAAAGTGCATGGAATGCTGGGGATTGTAGTACGAAAAATGAGAATAGCCCCATTCAACTGCCCTTCCTTGATTGGCTCACAAGGGTGGAAACCTGTCAAAGCGCATGGAATGCTGGGAGTTGGAGTTCAATGAATGGGAGGCGTGCCATTGCCTGGCAAGGGTGGAAGACACATGGCCTTTGAATCCCCAAGCGCAAGGCATGCTGGGGCTTGTAGTTCAACGAACTGGAGGAGCTCCACTCAACTGGAGATAGGTGGCATTTGACTGTCAAACATGGAAGGCTGGAACTTGTAGTCCAACAAACGGGAATATTACTATTCAACTACCATCGACTGGCTCAAGTTGAATAGATCAAGGCATGCTGGGACTTGTAGTCCAACGAACAGGAACAGCACCACTCAACCAATCTTGACTTGCTCTTAAGGGTGGAAAAATGGCTGTCAAAGTGCATGGAATGCTGGGACTTGTAGTCCAACAAACGAGCATAGTACTACTCAACCATGCTTGCCGGGCTCAAAAAGGTGGAAGACACCATGGCCTCTGGCTCTCAGTCAAGGCATGCTGGGACTTGTAGTCCAACGAATGGAAATAATGCCAGTCAACTTCCCTTGACTGGCTCACCAGGGTGGAGACATGGGGCCTTTCGTCTGTCAACATGCATAGAATGCAGGGACTTGTAGTCCAACAAATGGAAGCAGCACCATTCAACTCCTCCCTTTGTGGTTGAAAGCCACATGGGCTAGATTCTAGAACAAGAGTCTCTAAACTTGGCAACTTGTGGACTTCCTCTCCCAGAATTCAACTCCCGTGGCTGGTTGAGGAATTCTGGGAGTTGAAGTCCACAAGTCTTAAAGTTGCCGCAGTTTGAAGACCCGATCGAGATCAGTGCTGGTCAATACGTCATAAGTCATACAGCACCTTTTGCAGTATCTGGGACAGATAGGTAATGTTAAGAAATATGAAATATAATTGAATGTATGAATGAACGAATAAATAAATAAATGGGTGATTTAAGAAGTAGGAAATATAATTGAATGAATGAATGAATGTATGAATAAATAAATAAATGATGAGCGATTTAAGAAATTTGAAACATACTTGAATGAATAATATGAATAAATAAATGACGGGTGATCTAAGGAATTTGAAACATACTTGAATGAATGTATGAATGAATAAATGAATAAGTAAATGGGTGATTTAAGAAATATGAAATGTAATTGAATGAATGGATGGATGGATGAATAAATAAATAAATGATGGGCGATTTAAGAAATTTGAAACATACTCGAATTCATGTGTGAATAAATAAATAAATAAATGATGGGTGATATAAGAAATATGAAATGTAATTGAATGAATGGACGAATGAAAAATGCCCAACTCGATTCCGCGGGCAGGCTCCGCCCCTGAACAAAAGAGGAACAATTTCCCAGCTCCCCATAATCCAGGCCACCTTAAAATGCTCCCAGTCATGAATCATTTGCAGGAAAATAAACCAAGTTCAGAGGAGAACTTAATTGTTTCCACCCTGTGCTACGGGCTCTCTCTTGGAACTGCCTCTGTTGCGGCCATGAGGACTAGAAACCCGAGTCCTTTGAGCATCGGCTGAGATCCATGGACGCACACAGGAAGCCCCAGCTTCGGTTTCGTGCAGCAGGGGACGGGACGAAGGGGGAAAGCGAGAGTGGAGGGGTGGGTGGGTCTCGTGCATTCATGCAGGAAGGGTGGGGGGAGAGAGGGGAGGGGACAAGAGGGGAAAGCAGAAAGTTTATTTGGGGGGAGATGGGGGGAAAGCACTCACAAAATATCCTGCTGGGGGTCCGAGATGGCTTTTCGGATCGGAAGGAAGAAGAAGCTGCTTGCAAAAAGGAAACAATCAAACATGGGATAATAATAAAATTAAAAAAAATAAAAACCGACATGCTCGCTCGCTCGCTCGCTCACAAGCAGCCGTTCGGACACAAAAGATCTCTGCAGGCAACAACTCAAAACACATGAGGTAGTCCTCGACTTACAGCCATTCGTTTAGCGACCGTTCAGAGGGACAGCGGCCCCGAAAACAGCCACTTAGGACCGTGTTTCATGCTTACAACCATTGTGGCATTTCCCCCCATCACATGATCATAATTGGGACGCCGGGCAAGGGACTCATATTTATGACGATCCCAGGGTCACGCGATCCCCTTTTGTGTGACCTTCTAAGGAGCAAAGTCAAGGGGGAAGCCGGGTTCACTTAAACACTATGTTACTCGTTTTAACGACTGCGGTGATCTGCTTAACGATGGTGGCAAGAAAGGTCGTAAAATGGGGGGCTTGCGGTCGTAAGTCGAGGACTACCTGCCTAGGGGAGGAGAGGAGCGTTCTGCGGGGCGACATGGAGAAGCAGCAACAGCAGAGGAGCCCACGGGGGACGGGCGAGGCTAGGGAGCCCCTCGTTCTCCCACCCACCTACCCCAAAACGGGAAGATTTCCAGTAATCGGGGAAATTTTGCAAGGATTGGGGATGTGGTCATAAGTCGAGGACTCCCTGTCACATTATTTTTTCCTGCCTAAAAGAAAGGCAAAATGTTCCAGCTATGAAATGGGCTGCTGAAAATGGAAAAAATATATACATTCTGCTTGAGGAGGTTGAGATGATGAAGTTCTTTGTCCCCCCCCCCCCCTCCTCAAGTGATTGGGGTATAACCTAGAGGGGCAGCTGGAAACTATCTAGTCCTACCTCTTGCTCAAGACAAGGGACTTGAGGCAGACTTTCCTTATGTCTCTAAGAAAAGGCTTCCTGGCCAGGAGGTTTTATTTATTTAATGTCTTTAAGAAGTAATCCAAGTTAATGCTCCATTGCACAACAACCCTGCGAGGTGGAGTGGGCTGAGAGAGAATGGTTGGCTCAAAGGCACCCAGTCGGCTCTCATGCTTAAGGCAGGACTAGAATTCACCCTCTCCTGGGGATTGGCCAGCAATCGCCCAGACAGCTTTCATCTCCAAGACAGAGCAAGAACTCCCTGTCCCCTGGTGAAGGAGACAGGGTCACCCAGCTGGCTTTCATGCCTACGGCGGGACTAGAACTCACCGTCTCATGGTGATTGGCCCAAAATCACCAATTGACTTTTATGCCTAAGTTGGCTGAGGCGGAACTAGAATTCCCAATCTCCTGGTGATTGGCCCAAAGTCACCCAACCAGTTTTCATGCCTAAGGGGGGACTAGAACTCACCGTCTCCTGGTGATTGGCCCAAAGTCACCCAGCTGGCTTTCCTGCCTAAGGCGGGACTAGAACTCACCATCACCTGGTTTCTAATCCTGTGCCTTCCCCACTAGACCAATCTAGCTCAAATGCTCCTGTGGTTGAAACTGAACATCAACATGCAGCCTTCTTAAGATCCTAGATCTCTTGAAGGAGCAGCCCAGGCTTTTAAGAACAGCATTCAAAATGGATTCCCGCTAAACTCAGAAGGCAATTCATCAAATTGGGGACAACGACGACCTATTTTAAAATTTATTTTAGTCACTGCAGTAAGCTTTCGGTCAGTGTCCGACTGGTCCTTACCGGAGACTTTGGGCGCCTGGTTGCAAGAAAATCCACCGTTGGACTGATCCACAGTCTCTCCAAAATCGTAGGTTTCCCTGGGCTTCGGTTTATATTCTCGTTTGGGGCGTGATGAAGTGTCTCGCACTCTAGAAACCGGGAGAAAAAGACCACAATAGACCGTCAGTCCAAATAACAGAATATTTTTGAACGTGGGATTCGTTTTACAAATGGTTAGACAATAAAGGTAGAAATTTGAAGCTGCAAGAATACTGTTGAGGCCGACCAGTGGCCAGCAAAGCTGGCAGCAGATTCGGACAGCTAGGAGGTTGGGGAGGAACCTGGGCCAGTCCTGGAGTCTGGGAAAGGTTCTGATGAAGGCTCTGCGTCGGAGGCAGAGAGGGGGCCAGAGCTGTCCGACAGTTATCAGTTTCTTTCGGAGTCAGACATCAGTGAGGCAGAAGAACAGCTGGAGCCTGTTCCCAGTGTGCACAGTTGCTAGACAAAGGGAAGAGCTAAAGAACAGGGGTTGACTTGGGAGTAAGGCCACAGGTTGGCCCTCCCAGAGGAAATAAAAAAGGAGCAAAAGGGGAGTGGAGTTTGCAGGATACAATTAGTTCGCTTAATTAGTTCGTGACTCTCCAAGATTCCTTGCCAAGTTTTGCAGATCTCGGCCTGGCAGCTCTCCAAGCCAGATAAGGTCTGTGACCGAAAATCCTCCCTCGAAAGACTTTGCTGGATGTGAAGGAGCAGAATTCACAGTCAATTAGTAAAAGGGATTTTTGTCAGGACAAGGAGTTGGTTTCATGCTCTTGGGAAGCCTCAGTCAGAACAACCCCGTGCTCAAGCAGGAGACCCTATATCATCATCATCATCATCATCATCATCATCATCATCATCATCA